AATCACATGTTCTACTTATTTGTGTAGCCATTATGTTTCCGATATGCATGACTTCACAGGAGTGATTATTGATCTAAATAACTTATATGTGTCAGAGTGTTGCAAAAGTACTTTGACATGCCTGGCATGGCACCAAATGGGCACAGAAACTATTAAGGAAGAAAGCATAATGACCTGCACACCTTAGCCTGAGATATGCAAATCTACCTGTCAGGGCTAAAGTATTAGCCTAATTTGCCTTGCTTCCAGGAACTGCCTGATCAGTTATTTGGTGTGGAATTCCTGCTCTCATATGAGCTAGAACTACAAGTTGTTTTCACCTGCATTCAGGTTGCTTTTGACATGGCTACCCTATCATGGGATTGTCTTTAAAATTGTCCAGAGCAGACTTGACTTTAACCTTTTCTGAGGCTGAGAGAGTTTGACCCATCTAAGGTGATCCAGTGGGTTTCCATGACTGAACAACAGGGAGGGATTCAAACCTTTGTCTCCAGAGCCCCAGTTTAATGCTCAAACAATTCTGCCACATCGGCTTTTGGTACAAGGGCTGGGTGCTAATCTAATGCTTAAATGTTAGTTTATACCACAAACAGGTAGCTGAAAGGCACCTGGAAAGGCTTCCTGCAGCTTCAAGGCATAGCGACTTCCTACCACTCTCCCAACACTGTACTTTTGCTGTAAATGAGATAATTATGTGATAAAACAAGATAATGATGTGATAAAAACAACCTCCTACTTGTTCTCTCCTCTCCCTCCCCCCAAGCCATATCATACTCCATCTAGGAACAGCCAAGTTACAGTCCAGGCAGATGGGGAACAACATAGGAATTAAGGGAGAACAGTATCCAAATATGCACCTTTACAATCTCTCAACTGTCTTTACGCAAAGAAGAATATCATAAAACACTTCCAAGCACTAAAAAAATGGGCGAGACCTCTACAATATACATTGGCAGACAACATCAAAGTGTGAAGGGCTTTCAGTGAATACAGATTCAAAGCAACTGTCTACAGTAAGTGCTTGGCAAACGGATTGTCTGTATGATCCCAAGTGATCTCATCCTCACTATTTAATGGGACAATGCAGATGGCCAATTTATCAAGCAGCTATACATCACAATAAGATGCATCTTAACATACAGTAAAACATATATGGATTCAGAGAGAATCCAAATCTATTTCTTACGTTAACTACGTAAATCTGCCTGAACGCATCTTCCCTTATGAACCATCAAGGACTTTAAGATCATGGGGGGGGGGGGGGAGGCCCTGCTCTTGATCCCACCAGCGTCACAATTACATTTGGCGGAGACTAGAGACAGAACCTTCTCAGTGGTGGCCCCTCGTCTATGGAACGCCCTTCCTAGGGACATTAGATCGGCCCCCTCCCTTTTAACATTCCAGAAAAAAAGGTTAAGACTTGGTTGTTTGAGCAAGCTTTTGAAAATGCAGTGTAACAGACATAGGAAATTGGGAATACTGGATGATGAGACTGGACAAAGTTTTAACTTTTAAATCTATGTTTTATTAATTTTGTTATGTGTTTATATATTATGTTTTTAAATGTCTTTATGGTGTTGTGGCCATCTAAACCGTCCTGAGTCACCTGCAGGCTGAAAGGGATGGTATACAAATATAGTAAATAAATAAATCGACATAAATAAAAATGTAATGTTTGTTTGTGGGATTAACATAACTCAAAAACCACTGGATGAATTGCCACCAAATTTGTCCACAATACCCCTACTAACCCAAGGAGTGGCCATCACTAAAAAAAAAATGATTTTGACACATGGGAGTTGTAGTTGCTGGGATTTATAGTTCACCTACAATCAAAGAGCATTCTGAACTCCAGCAATGATGGAATTGAAGCAAACTTGGCACACAGAACTCCCATGACCAACAGAAAATACTAGAAGGGTTTGGTGGGCATCTTGAGTCCCAGCAACTACAACTCCAAAATATCAAAGTCTATTTTCCCCAAACTCCACCAGTGTTCACATTTTGGCATATTGAGTATTCATGCCAAGTTTGGCCCCTATCCACCATTGTTTGGGTCCACAGTGCTCTCTGGATGTAGGTGAACTACAACTCCAAAACTCAAGGTCAATGCCCACCAATCCTTTCAGTATTTTCTGTTGGTCATGAGAGTTCTGTGTGCCAAGTTTGGTCAATTCCATAATTGGTAAAGTTCAGAATGTTCTTTGATTGTAAGTGAACTATAAATCCCAGCAACTACAACTCCCAAATGACAAAATCAATATCCCCCCCTAACCCCACCAGTATTCAAATTTGGGTGTAATGGGTATTTGTGCCGAATTTGGTCCAGTGAATGAAAATATACCCTGCATATCAGATTTACATTACAATTTATAACCTCTGAGCATGCTTGCCATAGATGCAGGCAAAACATCAGGAGAGAATGCTTTTAGAACATGGCCATGTTGTTGTTGTTCATTCATTTCCGACTCTTCGTAACTTCATGGACCAGCCCATGCCAGAGCTCCCTGTCGGCCGACACCACCCCCAGCTCCTTCAAGGTCAATCAGTCACTTCAAGGATACCATCCATCCACCTTGCCCTTGGTTGGCCCCTCTTCCTTTTTCCTTCCTTCATTTTCCCCAGCATAATTGCCTTCTCTAAGCTTTCCTTTCTTCACATGATGTGGCCAAAGTACTTCAACTTTGCCTCTACTATCCTTCCCTCCAATATGCAGTCGGACTTTATTTCCTGAAGTATGGACTGGTTGGATCTTCTCGCTGTCACTCTCAGAACTTTCCTCCAACACCACAGTTCAAAAGCATCTATCTTCCTTCGCTCAGCCTTCCCTAAACTCCAGCTCTCGCATCCATAGTTGACTGTGGGGAATACCATTGCTTTAACTATGCAGATCTTCATTGCCAGTGTGATGTCTCTACTCTTCACTATTTTATTTAGATTGGACATTGCTCTCCTCCCAATAAGTAAGTGTTTCCTGTTTTCCTGACTGCAATCTGCGTCTGCAGTAATCTTTGCACCTAGAAATACAAAGTCTGTCACTGCCTCCACATTTTCTCCCTCTGTTTCCCAGTTGTCAATCATTCTTGTGCCATAATCTTGGGGTTTTTTTTTATGTTTAACTGCAACCCAGCTTTTGTGCTTTCCTCTTTCAGCATGATTAGAAAGCTCCTCAGCTCCTTCTCGCTTTTGGCCATCAAAGTGGTGTCATCTGCATATGTAAGGCTGTTAATGTTTCTTCCAGCAATTTTCCACAAGCATGTGGACAATTTCAACAGAAAGGAGGAAACCATGAAAATGAACAAAATCTGGCTAGCAATATTAAAAAAACTCAAAAATTAGAACAGCACAACAACAGAGTAAACAATCAGGCACATCTAATCACCTCTCAACAAAAGATTCCCCCAGGCACTGCCAAGCCATCAAATGCGAATTAAGGTGGTCAGTTGAAACATTCACACCTAGCTCCAGCAGACAAGAGTCCTTTGTCCCACCCTGGTTATTTATTTATTTATCGTGTCATCAGCAACCATACTACCATTGGATTACATTTCTAACAGAACAAAACAAACAGATCAAAAAAACCCCACAGATTTTGCAAACTTGGTAGTTGATTAAATGTGGCAATTCGAATATTGATGACTAAGGACAGGAAACATGGACAACGAATTCTGGATTGCGATTTCAACTCGAGATATATGGGATTATTATTGGTGGCCCAATAATTTGTTATTGAATTTGTTATTATATGTGTATATGTTTTTAAATTGTAGATTGTTTTAACTGCTGTAAACCGCAATGAGTCGCCGTTCTAGGCTGAGATATTAGCGGTATACAAGTGTATCAAATAAATAAATAAATAAATAAATAAATGCCCTTGACCAGTATCTGGCCACTTGGAGTGCCTCTGGTGTTGCCGCAAGAAGGTCCTCCATTGTGCATGTGGCAGGGCTCAGGGTGCATTGCAGCAGGTGGTCAGTGGTTTGCTCTTCTCCACACTCGCATGTCGTGGATTCCACTTTGTGGCCCCTTTTCTTGAGGTTGGCTCTGCATCTCGTGGTGCCAGAGCGCAGTCTGTTCAGCGCCTTCCAAGTCGCCCAGTCTTCTGTGTGCCCAGGGGGGAGTCTCTCATCTGGTATCAGCCATTGGTTGCGGTTCTGGGTTTGAGCCTGCCACTTTTGGACTCTCGCTTGCTGAGGTGTTCCAGCGAGTGTCTCTGTAGATCTTAGACAACTATGTCTTGATTTAAGTCGTTGACGTGCTGGCTGATACCCAAACAGGGATGAGCTGGAGATGTCTCTGCCTTGGTCCTTTCACTATTGGCTGCTACTTCCCGGCGGATGTCAGGTGGTGCAATACCGGCTAAGCAGTGTAATTTCTCCAGTGGTGTAGGGCGCAGACACCCTGTGATAATGCGGCATGTCTCATTAAGAGCCACATCTACTGTTTTAGTGTGGTGAGATGTGTTCCACACTGGGCATGCATACTCAGCAGCAGAGTAGCATAGCGCAAGGGCAGATGTCTTCACTGTGTCTGGTTGTGATCCCCAGGTTGTGCCAGTCAGCTTTCGTATGATGTTGTTTCTAGCACCCACTTTTTGCTTGATGCTCAGGCAGTGCTTCTTGTAGGTCAGAGCACGGTCCAAAGTGACTCCCAGGTATTTGGGTGTGCTGCAGTGCTCCAGTGGGATTCCCACCCTGGTCATTCCACAGATATATAAACCCATTTTCCTACTTCCAACAGACAAAGAATATTTTTAATGCTATCCTTACAAAACTCCTGAACTGTGCATTGCATAAGCGAGTCACATATACAAGAGGGCAACATGGAGAAGGCTTTGTTGTCAGATCCTGTGAAACATAAACAGACCATTCAGATTGATGAAACAGAAGAGACTGAGCCGTTCTATCCCCGCCCTCACGTCCAGTGCATCCTTGCATTGGTTCACTTCAGCCCCTTGGCCACGCCCCTACAAGGGAAACCCCGCCCCCTCCGCCTCAGGGCTTTCACTTTCTGCAAAGGCGAGTCCAGCCAGAGCGCAATCGTGGCCTCGGCCTTTCCGGCGGAGGAGGCATGGCTTCTTCGGCTTGGTGGCCGGAGGGCGGGCGTCTCTGGGCCTGGGGAGCCGGGGCGGGTGCACTGCTGGCCGGCCTGCTGGTCCTCGCCTTCTCCCGCTTCCTCTTGGACGTCTTCCACCGATGGAGAGTCCTGAAGCCCATCCCTGGCATCAGCCCTTGTTACCCGCTGCTGGGCAATGCGCTACTCTTTGAGAAGCAAGGCGAAGGTAAAGGCAGGCGCGACCCTGAGTCTCACTCTCTCTCTCCCTCTCTCTCTCTGTCTCTCTCTCTTAATCCCAGTCCTTTGAGCTTCAAGCAGAGGCAGGATGGGCGGCGAGATAAGTTGGCCAAGAGTTGACCCGGGCGGGAAGGAACAGTCTTCATAGACACCGGATGTTGATAATGTCCTGCTTTGAACATAGGGCCCTTCCACACTGTCTTATATCCCAGAATATCATAGAATCCTAGAGTTGGAAGAGACCTCTTGGACCATCCAGTCCAACCCTCCCAAGAAGTAGGAAAATTGCATCCAAAGCACTCCCCACAGCCTCTGTTTAAAAGCCTCCAAAGAAGGAGCCTCCACCACACTCTGGGGCAGAGAGTTCCACTGCTTAACAGCTCTCACAGTCAGGAAGTTCTTCCTCATGTTTAGTTGGAATCTCCTTTCTTGTAGTTTGAATCCATTCCGTCCTAGTCTCCAGGTTGGCCAACTTTAAAAACTTTGGCATAGACACTGAGAACTGGGAAGCCCTGGCCCTTGAGCGCTCTAGCTGGAGGTTAGCTGTGACCAGCAGTGATGTAGAATTTGAAGAGGCACAAATGGAGGGTGAAAGAGATAAACATGCCAAGGCAATCCCGACCAGGACCACCTTCCACCTGGAAACCAATGCCCTCACTGTGGGAGAAGATGCAAGTCAAGAATAGGGCTCCACAGTCACCTACCAGTACACTGATCTTGGAAGACTATCCTCGGACAACGAGGGATCGCCCAAGAAAGTCTACAGGGCAGCAGTAAACAAGCTTGCTCCCTCCTCCTTATGCCTTTCTATCACATATTTATATATGGTTATCATGTCTCCTCTCAGCCTTCTCTTCTGCAGGCTTAACATGCCCAGCTCTTTAAGCCGCTCCTCATAGGGCTTGTTCTCCAGATCTTTGATCATTTTAGCTTCCCTCCTCTGGACACATTCCAGCTTGTCAACATCTCTCTTTAATTGTGGTGCCCAGAATTGGACACAATATTCCAGGTGTGGTCTAACCAAGGTAGAATAGAAGGATAGCATGACTTCTCTGGATCTAGACACTAGACTCCTATTGATGCAGGCCAAAATCCCAATTGGCTCATGTTTAACTTGTTGACCATGAGGACTCCAAGATCTTTTCCCCACGTACTGCTCTCGAGCCAGGCATTGTCTTTCTTCAATATCTCTCTTCAATTGTGGTGCCCAGAATAGGACACAATATTCAAGTTGTGGTCTAACCAAGGTAGAATAGAAGGGTAGCATGACTTCTCTGGATCTAGACACTAGACTCCTATTGATGCAGGCCAAAATCCCATTGGCTTTTTTTGCCGCCGCATCACATTGTTGGCTTTGAACATAGGGCCCTTCCACACAGTCTTATATTCCAGAATATCATAGAATCATAGAGTTGGAAGAGACCTTGTGGTCCAGCGTTTCTGTGTTCTCAAATAAAATGCTGTGTCCAGGTTGGTTCATCAGGTGCTCTGCTGTGGCTGATCAAGGAACATGAAAGGCACTGCAGACTACTTCAACCAGAGAAATCAGCCACGTTGTCCGGATGCCCGATCACCGTCTCCCAAAGCAGTTGCTCTAGAATCATAGAATCAAAGAGTTGGAAGAGACCTCATGGGCCATCCAGTCCAACCCCCTGCCAAGAAGCAGGAATATTGCATTCAAAGCACCCCTGACAGATGTTTAAAAGCCTCCAAAGAAGGAGCCTTCATCACACTCTGGGCAGGGAGTTCCACTGCTGAACAGCTCTCACAGTCAGGAAGTTCTTCCTTCAGATAGAATCTCCTTTCTTGTAGTTTGAAGCCAGTGTTCCATGTCCTAGTCTTCAGGGCAGCAGAAAACAAGCTTGCTCCCTCCTCTCTATGACTTCCTCTCACATATTTATACATGGCTATCATGTCTCCCCTCAGCCTTCTCTTCTTCAGGCTAAACATGCTCAGCTCTTTAAGCCGCTTCTCATAGGGCTTGTTCTCCAGACCCTTGATCATTTTAGTCACCCTCCTTGGGACACATTCCAGCTTGTCAATATCTCTCTTCAATTGTGGTGCCCAGAATTGGACATAATATTCCCAGTGTGGCCTAACCATGGCAGAATAGAGGGGTAGCATGACTTCCCTGGATCTAGACACTAGACTCCTATTGATGCAGGCCAAAATCCCATTTGGCTCATGTTTAACTTGTTGACCACAAGGACTCCAAGATCTTTTTCCCACGTACTGCTCTTGAGCCAGGCGTCCCCCATTCTGTATCTTTGCATTTCATTTTTTCTGCCTAAGTGGAATATCTTGCATTTGTCCCTGTTGAACTTCATTTTGTTAGTTTTGGCTCATCTCTCTAATCTGTTAAGATGGTTTTGAATTCTGTCCTGTCTTCTGGAGTATTGGCTCTCCCTCCCAATTTGGTCCTGTCTGCAAACTTGATGATCATGCCTTCTAACCCTTCATCTAAGCCATTAATAAAGATGTTGAACAGGATATTGTGGGATTTTCTGCCTTGATATTCTGAGATATAGGGCTGTGAGGAAGGGCCCTGAGCAGGGGCGGCTCAACCCATTACGCAAAGTAAGCATTTACAGTATCGTTGATTTTGCCCAGGGGCGCTCTTGAGGTGCTCTTGGGGGAAAATAGACCTTGACATATGCGAGTTGTAGTTACTGGGATGTATAGTTCACCGCCTCTGGCCCTGAGTTGTACTTACTTAACTTACTTAGGCGACCCTTCATAGCTTGAGGATGATGGTCTTCCAGATGTGGTGTCTTAGCGGTGGGTCCGTAGGTGGCTGTGGAGCCCTATTCTTGATCCACATGTTCTACCGCAGTGAGGGCATCTGTTTCCAAACAGAAAATGGTCCCGATCAGGGTTGGCTTGATGCACCTTCCTCTTGGCACATTTCTCCCTTTCACCCTCCATTTGTGGCTCTTCGAATTCTGCAGCACTGCTGGTCACAGCTGACCTCCAGTTAGAGCACTCAAAGGCCAAGGCTTCCCGGTTCTCAGTGTCTGTGCTACAGTTTTTAAGGTTGGCTTTGAGCCCATCTTTAAATTTCTTTTCCTGTCCTCAAACATTCCGTTTTCCGTTCTTGAGTTCGAAGTAGAGTAACTCTTTTGGGAGATGGTGATCGGGCATTCGGACAACATGGCCAGTTCAGCGGAGTTGATGGCGGAGGAGCATTGCTTCAATGCTGGTGGTCTTTGCTCCTTCCAGCATGCTGACATGGCAGTGTTGACGCATATCATCCAGCACAAAGCAGATAACACTATATATGCAATGTGGCAGGGCTTCAAACTTTCCCCCCCTTGAGATGACTTTTGAGGCCAGTGTCTCCTGATCTATATCTCAACAAGGCCTGGAAATTACCACTATTGTGCAATGGGTCCTTCACAGGTAATAAGTCCTGAACCTTTGCTCCCTCTTTGAGCCAGTTCATGTTGACCACAAAGGACAATGCTTTCCACAATTGGCAGAAGTTTCTTTTTGTTTTCTTCTGCTTTCTTCTCATTGCCTTTATCATGAAGATGGGTTACATCAAGACGTTTTCCACTGTGAAGTTCTCAGCCAAGTACAAGTTGTTTTGATGGCACTCTGTTTGTTTTTATGCTGACGTTTCACCCGCATCTATGGCAAGCATCCTTAGAGGTTGTGAGGTCTGTTGGAAACTAGGAAAATGGGATTTGTATATCTCTGAAATATCCAGGATGGGAGAAAGAACTCTTGTCTGTTGAAGCTAGGTATGAATGTTTCAATTGGCTACCTTGATAGTAACTAATGCACCAAGCGTCTAATGCAAGGGTCCTCAAACTAAGGCCCGGGGCCCGGATACGGCCCTCCAAGGTCATTTACCCGGCCCTCGCTCAGGGTTAACCTAAGTCTGAAATGACTTGAAAGCACACAACAACAACAACAACAACAACAACAATTCCAACTCATCAGCCAAAAGCAGGCCCACACTTCCCATTGAAATACTAATAAGTTTATATTTGTTAAAATTGTTCTTCATTTTAATTATTTATTGTTTTTAAGTATTTTTTTTTTGCACTACAAATAAGATACGTGCAGTGTGCATAGGAATTCATTCATTTAAAAAAATATATAATCTGGCCCTCCAGAAGGGACTGTGGCCTGGCCCTCTGTTTAAAAAGTTTGAGGACTCCTGGTCTAATGAGTACCTTTAACCCCAACTTATCCTCCAAAGACCACCCAGTACTTACAGGGTGCACCTTGTACATGAAATAAGTAGGCTAATCAGGGAAATCTGCTGAACTATTTGGGTTGAACTCTTACATGCCTCTTCTTATCCACAGGAAATACATGTTCTGGCAATGGAGGGCCCTTCCATACAGCCGTATATCCCAGAATATCAAGGCAGAAAATCCCACAATATCTGCTTTGTGATGGTTTAGCTGAGTCCACGCTCAGATAATGTGGGATTTTCTGCCTTGATATTCTGTGTGGAAGGGCTCGAAGTCTGTGGATTTTGCACTAATTGCAAAACCCACAGAAACAGTCTTGTTTATATGAAGTCCAAGGTCTAACAACGACATAGATTCTTCCCTTTGCTCCTGTTCCATGGTTTTCTTGGCAGGGCTTGGATTAGATCAGTGGTTCTCAACCTTCCCAATGTGACGACCCCTTGATACAGTTACTCATGTTGTGTTGAGCCCAAACCATAAAATTATTTTTGTTGCTATTGCATAACTGTAGTTTTGCTACTGTTATGAATCGTAAAGTAAATATTTGATATGTAGGATGTATTTTCATTCACTGGTGTGGTTGGGAGGGATTGATTTTATCATTTGGGAGTTGTAGTTGCTGGGATTTATAGTTCACCTACAATCAAAGAGCATTCTCAACTCCACCAACGATGGAATTGAACCAAATTTGGCACACAGAACTCCCACAACCAATAGAAAATACTGGAAGGGTTTGGTGGGCATTGACCTTGAGTTTTGGAGTTGTAGTTCACCTACATCCAGA